CGAGGCGGTGCCTAGCTCTGCCCTCCTGCATCCCCCGCATCCATCTCCGCTGTCGGGGCTGGAGCCTCTGAGAGACCATCAGCCCTCGGGGAGCACCGGGCTGCTCCCCGGTAGCCAGCAGCTGCAGGATGCGACGTGGCAGCCTCCAGCCCTTGCAGCAAACACCGTGATCCCAAAACGCTGCCGGGTCACTGCTAAAATCACGCAGGAGAGAGGCCAGAGAGCTGCACGAGCCTCCAGATAACGTACTGGACTTGATTCCTCCCCTGCCTCGCTGCTGATCAGTAAATCTGAACCATGCACTGTCGCAATTAACCTGTTACCACATTTACTGCGTTAAACGCCCCCGGCTCGCCCTGCTGCGAGGACACGTGGCTGCCGTGTACATTCTCACTAGTCCCAGCTTTTAGACCAGGGTTAGCCCTTGCTGTAAGCCGCAGCAGCGACTGCTTCCTGCTGTAATTAAGATGCTAAGTGCCAGCCGGCTCGTTATCACACACAAACTCAAAGGGGAGGGAAGGGAAATGAATGTGTAACTTATAAATGCCTTTAAGCCAGAAATTTAAAACATTAACTGCTAATTTGTATACATTATTTTTATATACTGAACGCCTGTTTAATCTAAAGCAGAACCGGTAATAAAACGACTCTTAAGGATAAAGCACTTGTCTGTGAGAAGGGGTGAAGCTTTGCATGGGGGAGCGATGCTGGGACGGAGGGATGCACGAGCTGCTGCTTGCTGCCTGACCTCCTGTGTAAGGAGCTGCTGCCAGGAGCGGTGACCATGCTCCTTTGGGCATTTTTAAGTGGAAGATGTATTTCTGACTTGCCCATGCCGGCACCTGGGGGCAGGACCAGTAGCCTCTAGGCAAGCGTGATCTAATGGGTGAAAATATGAGGAACAAGTGTCACAGGACAACAGAAGGGAAAAGCCAGGACACGCGGCTCTTCCAAGGGGCAGTCCCACTTCTGCCTACACAAGAGTCCCTACGGAGACCCCGGGCACCTGCACAGACACGTAGCCATCTCTGCTGGGCTACCTGGGCCAGGAGGCCACAGCTTCTGCCATCCCCAGCGTGGAGAAGCAGACAGCTCGGGCAGAAGCTGGGTCCAGCACAAAGCTCCAGGGCAAAGGCCCAACACAAGCTACTTTACACTGCTGCTCAGCGCGGCTGTCCTCAGAGACAAGAGGTGGTCTAGTGCTTCCCTAAACTGATCTGTATCTTTATAGGGAAGTCTAGTGACAAAACCCCCCCCCATTTTTTTTTTTTTTTTTTGCGGACACCTGATCTGATTCCTGTGTTCACAGTACAAACATAGGTATGTGACAGCAAACCCCCCTCCCCAACTTCACTTTGGGGTTTATGTTTCAGATACCTGACCTCACTCACTCACTGGCAATGCCACCACCTAAGTGGAGACAAGCAGCTCCTGCACCAGCGGTGAGCAGGAGCACTTGGCGTGGAAAGGCGTGGGCGAACCTCTAGAGCTCTGTCTGCTTACCCTGGTGCTCCAGATCCCAGACCTACCTTTCCCACTGTCAAGGGGAAGACGCATCAGCTCTCAGTACAGCGATTCGCTGTCCCCCCTCCTGCAGTGGGACAGGAGGAGGAAAAGGGACCATTTACTTGGAAATAGAGAGAAATGCCAGAATATTTGGCAAATCCTGTGCTCAGATCCATCAACGTATTCATACCCAGAAATGACTTCTCCCCGCATCCCCCTGAAACCAAGGTATATATAGCAGAGTTTATTCAAACCAGGCTCCCCTTCTTGAAAAATGCCATATTTACCACCATTGTCTTTCTCTGGGATGACGTATCAAACCACTAGCAATGAGAATGAAGACTCTTTTTTCCAGCTTTATTTTTTTCCCTGTGAAAATGCAGGTCAAAATGTTAATTTCAAGAAATCACAGTTTATAAAGTGTCATTCATTCAATACAAGCTAGTCATTCCATCGCCTTCACCCACACCAGTACTGCCCATCCCAAAGAGATTATCAGCTTCATATTGCTTTGCCAACAGTGATTTTTACAAAGACTTTCGGCAGGAGCTACACGACAAGAGCCATCTGTGTTTATCACTCCTATTGCTATTTGTCCTCCCTACCCTGAACTGGGATTCTGCCCTAAAGACTAGTTATGTTATTACACGCAGTTTCAGCCAAATCTTAATGTGGATAACGAAAAGCTTTCTTGACTTTCTCTTTTGTCAGTATTGTACAGCCAGCCTTGATCTGGAAGCTGGCCTTTTTATGCCTGTCACAGCACAAATGACCAGTCAAATTAAGAGGAAACTGTCCTGGCAGCAGGAAAGAGCTGAGGAGATCCCAGGCTGGTAGGTAGCAAAACCATGAAAACCCTGGAGATTCTCCTGAGAGGAGAACCACATTTCAGGACAGTAAGAAAGCACCAGTGGTTCGTGGTATTAGCTGAGTGTCTTTCCCATCCGGCAGGGACTGCTGACACGACAGCCCGCTTGCCTGGCCGGCTGTCACGTAAAAGATTTGTTAGGTGGAAATCTGCAGCCTCACTTTCTTACTTGAGGTGGCAGCAAAATAGGACTGAAGGTTTTGGACAAAAGAAACAGGATGGAGATACTGGCTAATGCTGGTGTGAGAGTACAGGAGAACACAGACACCTCCATCTACCCAGCAAAGACATTCTGGGTTCACAAGGGTTTACTCCTTTCACTCGTTCGTGTAGGTGGCCTGAAATTAACGTTAATGCTATAGATGAAGTGTAAAGCTCAGAAGTCCTGCAAACAGAGGGCTGCTGCATCCCGCCCTACTGCTCGGCAGAACTCGAGTCTAACACCGATGTACAAAACCGTACACCTGTACATCGAAGCATTTTGCAGACAACAGTGAAAGCCACGAGACGCAGCCTTTGGGAAGGGAACAGACCATGCTTTCGTATTGACACACCAGCGACAGCGATGTGTCATATTGACACATCACCAACAGACTCTTCTTAGAAACAACCAACAGATTTTTCGCCTCCCCCCCTCAGAGGAAGCCTAGGAAGGGTGCCAGGCGTGGGGAGATTGCTTGGTGCACTCAACACGTGCTCGGAAGCTCCTGGGAACCCTGGAGAGGCATCCTGCTCCAGAGCTTACAATTCTTACCAGTTCATGGCATCTGAAAAAAAGAAATCAAGCCAACATACCCATTCCCCCCACTCCTTCCTGGAAGACATGTGCATAATGTGTTAATTGTTTACTAAAAAGACTCTTAATGTGGCATTTCAGATATAAATAGGTGCCTATTTTGGACACACGTATTAAGTGCTTTAGAACAAAAAGTGCTGTGAAAACTATATCCATCGTGGTGACAGGTTTAATTTTTCTTCAAGAGTTCCACTTGCTTATTACATCACAACTTTAGTTTTTTGATTAGGGATGTCACTGCCAATGCCAATATCAAAACCAGCCAATATTCTGGGAGACCAAAGGGAAAAAGTATCAGCTGGTTAAGGAGCATTGGTCCTCAAAAAGGGAGGCCCAGAGTATAACTTTTCTTGAACTCCACTTGAGAAAACTGCCAATATTCCTGCCCTGTTGTGTCTCCCAGAACCAGCATGGATCTGGCAGGGCCTACCTTGCTTTTTGGGAACTGTTTCTCTATTCAGCCTGGATGTAGACAGCCCTTGCTCAGAGGCCACTGCAGTTACAGCACTCTGGAAGAGCCACAGCACACCGGCAAGTGACTGTGATTTCCAGGTGTGCAAGGACTTTGCACAGTCCTGAACAATTACACTCATAGCTTACACCTCCCTGGGGGTTTGTTCTGGGTTACAGAAGGGCTAGCAACACCTGTCCATCTGAATCTGACCCCTGCAGTTTCAGTATACTCCAAACAGTTCAGAAATCAGTAAAAAAAAGTTCAAAGCTTAAGGCATTCTGGGCCCAGCTGCCCATCCCACTCCGTTAACACGTTTTGAAATACGAGGAGCGGTACGAAGCCTCGTGCCAGTTCGTCAGTGCTAGTGAAGACAGGCTGAGCTAACACACCACGCAGAACTGGGGCACTGACCTCCAGCGGAGGGGCCGAGTGGCTGGCCGGATTGATAGCCGGGAGTGAGATTTTTATAAACGCTGCAGCAAAATTCAGACCTTGTCTGAGCTGACTGAGCCACTGCCCTTTCCCTCTCCAGAGGGAGCTGCCTGGATGGGACAGCTTGCATTGAAGTCCCAAGTCAGCAGTGGAAACAGGATGGAGGAACACAACCCCTCCACCCTGCCCACCAGGGAACACCATATCCTCCTCCTGCCCTACCTGCCAGACAGTGCTGGCAGCAACACCAGAGAGCGAGCACCAGCTCCTAAGTCAGGCAGGAGACCTGAAGATGAGAGCTGCAAGCAAAGCTCTTTCTGGGAACAAAGTTCTTTTCTGATTCAAGACAGAAGTGTCTGCGGGGAAGGGTGGGAGGTGAAACCAAGAACCCAGCTAGTTACTGCTGTCAATTTTCCCTGTGCAAAAGGCTTGAGGTAGAGATGATGCTACCAAAGCCTACAGAAACATTAAGTTTTTCCTCCAGCTAGAAGGAAGTTAGCCAGCTCCCTTCGGCACAAACAACCACAGCTGCACGGAAGATACTCAACCTCCTCCTCTGGGCAAACCCAGTAACTACTGGCCTCACCTCGGAGGCTTGAGCAACAGGAGTTCTCATCCAATCCCCTTATTCTCCTGAAAAGCACAATCGCACTCCTCTGAAAAGCAGGACTTTCCACCCACCATTCTCAAGCTCAACCTAACACTCGCACCCAAAACAAGTAATTCCCACTGTTCTGGGGAACATCTAAGCTCAGGACATGTCTTGGAACTGGATCAGAACAGACAACAGAAGTGAGGCCCGAGAGCCGTGAGCTGCTGAGTCGCTATCCTACTTCAGCACAAAACACCAGCAACTGCACTTGGTGCTCCATGGCAGGGGTGGTTGGAAGCTTTTGCAATTCCTTCTTTCAACAAGGTAAAACACCTCCAAAACAGGAACGACTTCACGGCCTGTTCTCCAGCTGACCATGCTTGACTCGCCACATCCAGCTGACGCTGCAGTCAGGGGCAAGGGTGCACTGCAGCTCAATACCAGAGTCAGGGACCTCCATGTCGTAGTGAACTGGCTGGCCTTCTTTAGTAACCAGACTGAAAGCAGGGACTGGTATCTGTGAAGCAGAACAAACAGATCTGAGTGGCTCTTCAGGGCTCTTTCAGAACATAACATCCCCCTATCAAACCCTGCAAATAGCTTCCCAACCCAAGAAGAGCTCTTGGAGAGAGACTTGTGCTCAGCAGAAACATCTCATAAGAAAGTATCTCAGAACCTGGAGTAGGCAGCGTTCACCCTGCTGCCAAATTGCCTCACCCAAGTTTTTGACCACTGCTGGTGGTTCCTGAACTGCCTATGTTTGGGCACTGTGAATTCATCTGCAAGCTAGTTATATTTTCCTTTGTGATGTCCAAGAGAACAAAGTATGCCAAAGAAAGTCAACGCCACTAAAACATTTTCTGGACTTCCGCAACCTCTTTGTTTAGCAGTGATCACCGCATTTTACACTCAGATGAGTCACAGTCCCACAAACACTCAGGAGTTTCTTTCAGGGGCTGCCAAAGACCCCCACAGGGGCTCTCTCTGGAGACTCTCACTGGAGTCTGCCAACATCTCCTCCAAACTAACAAGTTAGAAGCATCACAGCCAAACGCAGCCTGTTTCCCTTAGATGATATTACTGCTCTTGATGAAAAAGTCATATAGTGATTCTTCTTTAGGGAGAATGGAAAGAATTTATCTTTATAGTCGAGGAGAAAGATTTTTAAGCTGCAGCACAGGTACTTTCCAAGATGGAGAACCCTATGGTCCCTATGACAATCAGCAATGGCTTACGATTCAGAAGACATCTTCTGGTATCACACTCGTAACAGCAGCACTGAAGTTGTGTTGCTAAATGTGTCATTAGGGTCCTTGAATGGACTTCTGGGTCACTGGTTTTATAGCATTATAAGGCTGCATTATGGAAGAAATTGCTTCTCAGACAAAATGCTGTACTTAATTCCCAGATTTGTGTCTCACCTGGCTGCTTATCCCAGTGGCAATGTCTCCCACCTTTGTCCTGTGGAAATCCCTGATGTGTAAATTTTCTCCACTTAGCAACTGGATCTGGATTTTTACTCCTGAAATGCACATGAGAAGTCATTAACTTCTGCTGTAGGCATAATGACTTCACAGTCCAACACAGAAAAATTGACTAGCAAGGCACATACGCCAGAATAACTCATTTTTGTCATTAAGCATTTAATTTATATAGGTCTTTTGCTGAGCATAGAGGCTTGCTGAAGACAAAAATGACTCACAGAGCAGAGCTGGGTTTAGCAAGAAAGCAGATGAAGAGACATATTGATTTGCACAATGTGCCCTCAAAATTACTCTGTAAACATTTATGGTTATAAAGCGTATATTCTTGCACACAGCAAGGCATACAAAACTGAACCAGACTCTGGGCGTTCAGGAACTTCTCTGGCTTTTCTAGATTATACAGACTTGAGTGCCACCCATCTATGACTGGGGCAGACTTGGCCTCTTGACAACCCACGTGCTTTTAGGAGGGTCTGTGCTGACTCAGCAGCTGAAGGATAAGAAGAGCTCAAAGACTCCCAGACCCTCCAGATACTGAGAAAATCATACCTGACCATTTTATCCAAACTTTAGAAATTCAGACTCACCATTGAAATAGCTGGGAGTGTCTGCGTGCCGACTGCGGGTCAGCAGGTTGTTCCAACTGAAGCTCTGTCCATCTGTCTGGCTGTTCCAGGAATGAATCCCAGAGCTCATAGTGTCCCTGAAGCTATGAGAAGCCTTCATGGAGTTCTGCAGAAGTAAGCACAAATTTTTCAAAGGCTCCTAGAGAAAATGAGCTTGCATGAGATAAACATTAAAATAACCTCAGGAAGAAAAAAGTAGAAGTCTGCAGGGAACCAAGGCTGGGCCTTGAGTTATTCAACATTTACCTGTCATCTAGAAAAGGGGACAAATAGCAATGCAGCAATTTGCAGACATATTAAGTTATTCTCAATAGTCAAATGAACAATCAGCTGAAGAGTTGGGTGGAAAAAAAAAAGGGGGTTTATCGTACTGAGTGACAGCAGAATAAAGCACCAGATAAAATTCTAATGTCAATAAGTGGCAATTAACACCCAGGAAAACCAGTTAACTGTACATAAACAACTACAGACCCTACATTGCTGTACTGCTTGGAAAAGTCTATGCTATCTTAAGGTCATAGAAGGTCAATCTGACCATCAGCAGAGCGGCAAGTGCCAGTTAAAAGTCAAATTAAATGCTAGGGTTAGATATTCAGAAAAAAAAATTAAAAAAGGCAGAGTTACATCCCACACTACACACCATGCTGTGTCAACAGCTGAATTACTGTACAGAACTTTGCTCAATCCTCCTCAAAAAGCACTAGAAGGCTGAGAAGAGGAACAGAAATAGGAAACAAAGATGATCATAGTCAGAAATGACTCCTGTAGATGGCAGGCTATACAATGTTGGACTCTGTGTCTTTGAAAACAATGATTGAAGGGCTGCACTGTGGAAGGATGTCAACACAGGTTATTCAGTGTTCCTCACTGGTATTCCCTACCTTATGAACACCAGAGACAGGACAAACAAAATTAATTAAACTTAGTATTTAAGTAACTTAGACTATGTAAGTCACTAGTATGAGCAGGTTAAAAGAAGTTCATGGAGAACAGATCCGTAGGCTGGGAACAAATATCCAAGAGCAGGGTCCCTGTTCTTCTGCCCTATTCTTTTGACCTTTCCCTAAACATCCCTTTAGTGGCCATTGCCAGGAGGAAGACCCTGGGCTGCACAGCCATTTGGTCCAACTCCTACACTCATCACTGCTTCTTCAGCTCCTTTCTTCTGCATCGAGAGGGTCAAGGCCACTGAGATTTTTCCATATCCACACACTTGATGCATACTGTGAATATACAGCACAGAAGAGCAACTGGAGGAAAGAGTTCCATGCTGGATGGTAAACTACAGAACAACTACAATCCAAAATACCCCACTGTCCAAGAACAAAGATTTCTTCCCAAGGTACTCTCCAGCAAACTGGGTGTCAAAAAGCAGCAACAAATGTGAGAAGCTCCGGATGTTCACTGGTTACAACTTCCAGTTTCCCAGAGGTGGTCAGCCTGCCACCCCTCACCCCCACAATGACATCGATTTATACTCACCTTCTCACTGGCATCTGACACAAAAGGGCTGTCGATGCTGAGACATGAAAGCATTTGTTCTTGCTCTTCCAGGGAGTAAGGCTGTGAAAGGCTGTTCAAAAACAGTTCTGCAAGCAAAAGGAAAGAGAGGAAAACATTTCCAGTGATTTCTTTCATGCCTCCCTGCTCTAATCACAGTTACTGCAATTAATACCCAAAGCTTCTTCAGCTTTATCTAATGAACATTGATATTGAAGTCCACAAAACACATGACACACAATTCCTCTGCTAAGTAGAGGCTATGGCCACCACTGTGAAAACAGGGAAACTGAGCCAGAAAGGACAGATGAATTGTGCAATGACATGCAAAATGCCAGAGACAGGACTAGCACCCAGAATTTCCCAGTTCTTGCCTATTACATCACCCATCAGTCTTCACTCTAGATCCATCCACATTACACCCAGGGAAAGGTCAAACTTATGTAGTCAACTCTTGCAGTAACTTGCACTGATAAAATCCAGACCTGACACGGCCATTGAAGATCCAAAGCCATTTGAGAAGAAAGCTGGCCCTCAGCAACCCCTAAAATGCCATTCCTCAGTTCTGTGACAACAGTTATGTTTCAAGATACTTTTTTTCGTATCTTGACATTTCCAATTCATTTACAAAGACTACAAATAGGGGGTTAAAAAAATGAAAAGTTGACTTCTACTGGGGCAATGGAACTGCACTATTACTTCACTGATTTTCACACTGAGCTTACTGCTGGTTTTCGAATTCTGGATTGCTGCTGGTAATCAAATTTGTTAGCTGGTGGCTATAGGTTTTCCAATGCCCAGAATAAAACAATCGCAGACTGATTTTAACCATACTCCTTCATTTGACATCTCCCATCCAACAGGCTTATCCCTTTATTAAAAGAATTGTGTTTGAAAACCTAAAATTGCAGATGAAGGTGGAATCGCAGACAGCGTTTATTCGGTGCACATAAACACAAGTCTGAAACTGGCTGTTTTCTGAGAGGTTCTTGCACCTCTCACAGAAGTTTGCTCCAAAGTTCAGAGAGTGGAAGGAAATCCTGACCACTACCTTTGTGGCATATTTAATTAGTTAAGAACTACTAGTTTTGGTAATTTAAAGGAAGGCTGAGCAATTTGTGTAACAAGAGAGGAACTACGAACAAAATGACATCCAAGTTCAAAAGCCAGAAATAACTGTCAAGAGGCCAAAAGAAAGCAGCTGTATTTTTACCATGCTCTCAAGCAAAATGCTGAATTCCCTACATAGCACATCGCTTACCTATTTCCAGCTGCTGAAGCTCTTGTTCTGAAATGGTTGTTGCTTTCTCCACGTGGCTGCAGCTCTTCAGGGGGAGAGGAGTGGAGGAGAGAGGTGGAGGATCCCAGGCCTCAGATAACTCCTTGTGCACATTCCAAGGCATTCCCTCAACCTCCTCTGTTTGCTCCAGAGATGGTGGTGGTGGTGGTAGCACTGGGCTCGCACAAGAAACTTTGACTGCCAATTTTGGGTCAGAATCAGTCTCAGAAACTGGGCTTGCTGCAGGGGACAGGAATGTCTGTGGCTTGTTTTCTTTGTTCGAAGATAAATGTCTAGGCTCCCTGTATTCGCCTTTCCAGGGGCTTGTCACACCTCCCACTACAAAAACAAAAAGCGTACAAATATTATCAAATAAAGAAAAAAAAGAGGTAAAAGTTTTCCTTCACAGTAAGTTTCTGAACTGTATCTTGCTGTAAAATGCCCAGCTTCTTCAAAAGACAAAACCAGATCACCTCTACAAATTCTTGCTGTATTACAGAATCTTTCAGTAGGATTAAGTTGACATAAATTATGGATAGTCTTAGCGGCAAGACTGGACCACAAGTATGAGTTACAGGTCAGGATGCAGTAAGCCTCTGCTTTCAGTTTTGCTGCATACTAGGCTCTAGCTCACTAGGTGCAGTTGATATTTCAGCTGAATATGAGCCCAGCCAGAGCACACATGTTAATAAACCCACATAAAGCACAACACTGTCTACTTCAAGCAGAGAAGGAAGAAAGAGCATGTGACAGCACACAGGAAATTTTAATTTATTTGGGTGAGAAACACCCAGCTGCAGGCAAAAGCTATCAACCCAAAAATATACATCAATGCTGAAGCCTGTGCAAACAACACACTGAACAGGAAAACTTACTGATATTTCCCATAGAACTACTCTTACATAACTAGCAACTGGCCACTTCACCAGTGTGGATAAGAAGCTTTAGATACAGGACATTCTACCTTCTTCAAGTGCGACACTGGTCTTAGTTTTCAGTTCAGATGCAGATGCTCTCTGAACAGGCTCTTTCTCCAGACCCATTTTAATAATCTCAGCAGTGAGAGGGTTGCAGGAAGGTGGAATTTCCCTCAGAGGAGGTGGCTCTTTAGCTATCTGTATAACAAACAGGAAGTGAAAGAGGTTAGACCAGAGAGGCTTCATTTGATTTCAGAAAGATTCTTCCCACCCTGAGCGCATTTCCAGCTGAAATTATGCCATTAAATGAGAGACCTGATCAGTAATTTTATTACAGCTGAATGGCTAAAAAGTCACACCTAAGTCATGAGCAGGATAGGAACGAAACAGCCCCAGTGTGTGTAATACACAGCAGTCAGAAGCATAAGCAATGACCAGCTTCCAAAGCAAGACTGGCATCATCTTAGATGCCTAGCTGGCTCTCAGCCAGCCTTCCTGAAATAACTGCTCTCCAGCTAGGTATAATGAGATTTTGCAGGCTTATGTACCTTTTACTGGAGATATGTTGGGTCACTTACCTTTAGACAGAGCGGGTGATTGTAATACTGCGTCCAAGGGTGGCACCCATTAAGCATGTGCAGCATCATACAGCAGCTGCTCCAGACATCCACTTTGGAGTCACAACGCTTTCCCATGACCACCTCCGGAGCCATATGAGTCTCCGTGCCAGGCACATAGTTCCCTAAAACCATTGAAATGAAAACTCACCGCATGTAAGCTAGAGAATTGTTCCAATGCAACTGCTGGGAAGCCTAGGACAGCTTGTTTTTCAGCTAAGGTGAGAAACAAGTCACCTTAACCCAAGAAGCAGCACTGCGTGCTCTTATAAGCTGCTCAAAGGCTACATCTCCATATCAATCTCATCCTTTATACATAGCATAGGTATGCTCCCCTTCCCAGCAAATCTGGGGGGCAAAACATGACCCTCCATTGGTGAGCTCAGCAGTATAAAACATACCCTTCTCTTTCAACAGCTGCATTAAGAAGCACTGTAAAGTTTAATTGCCCAAAAGTCAGTGAGGAATTTTTCTTTGGTGGAGGTCAGGATTCTTCCCTGAATAGTTTAGTGAGGTTACATGACAAGTCAGATTTTATGTGATTTCTTGCAGGGACAAAACACTGGATGTAGTATGCTAACATAATCTTACAAAAAATACAACAGCTTTCTAGACTGGGAGATAAGGACCACCTTCCAACCTTAAGTTCATTTCAGCCGTCAGTGGGATACATCACAGTAATATCAATAAATGTGACACCATGAACAACGTTAAGTCTGGAAAATACAGTTGCTTGCAAATTAGCCATGCATGAATGTTCAAAAAGAAAGAATGAGTCAGTAGGGCAATTCTTTCGAAAGACAGCAGAAAATCCTTACCTGTGACCAAGCACTTTCCCAGGCCATCTGGATGAAGGTGAGCAGAGTGACCAAAATCACACAGAAGAGCCCTGCTTCCATCATCAGACAAGAGCACATTTTCCGCTGGCAATGAGAAGTTTTTCATTAGTCAGTCTCCTTTGTATTATGGTCACTGAGATGGAAAAAAGTCAAAAGCCCACAGAACTACAGGTTTTTGAGCCCAAACTAAGGTCTATTACTCCTACGGAGTGTCACTGGCTTAAGCAAGTATACAACTATAATTATCTCTGCTTATAAGCTACCAGTTACCAGCCCTGGAGATTCCTCTACCCCAGTGGTGAGGCAGCCTGGGCAAACAGCCTGTCAGACCCACCGGATGACAGAAAGAAAGAGGTGACAAATATGATATGCCCAGCTGCTCAGAACCAAGTTAAGCTCTAGTCTTAAATGTAGAGCTGAAAATCTAGTAAATAACCTTTTGCCACTCAGTAACTTAATCTCCAAGCAGTTTGCCTCTTGGAAGAAAAAGGAAAGAACAAGGTACCTTAAATACCATCCTACCTTTTACATCTCCATGGAGAATGTTTTGAGCATGAAGATACTCCAAGCCCTCTAATGCCTGGCCCAAATAACTGAGGGCTCTGTCCTCTGGCAGGCAGCCACTCTGTTTAATTAGCTGACCTAGTGAGCCACCTAGAAAGGAATCCAAAGAGTCCATGTTAGCTTATCTTTAAATTCTTCCCAGCATCATCAGCATTTCTCCTTTCTGATGCAGAAATGAGAACTGCCAGGTCTGACAGCCCTTGCCTTGCACACATAGGTCTGTTCCTTTTATTTATTCCCAGAATTCTTACTGCCCACAGAAACGGGCCTCTTTCATGAAGCCTTTTGAAGTGCCAGTTAAACGGTGTTGCCACGTATCAAAATCAGCTACTCTGTGATCATATCAGACACTCATAGGTGCTACTGATCACCAGCTTGATTCTTCACAGACTGTGGTTTCCATGGTCCTGGCTGGAAAAAGGAGCATCAAGCAATGGAAGCATCTAGGTTTGCTGATATGGTATCCCCTGTTCCAGTACAATGTGCTCTACATGGTGCCATGCAAATAAACATGAAAGCATGAAACAGCTCCAGCTATATGTTTTAAGTGAGAATCTGCAGCTGCTGTGCAAGGGATAGCATCTTAAACTGGAGCGAGGTAGGACTGGAAACGATTCCCCCCAAGAAAGACCATTGCTACACACCAGCAGGGGTTACACATGCCTATCCCAATCCACTCAGGAATTAACACTAGGAACACTCTGGATACACCAAAGAATTAAAAGATTTAAAATTGGGACAAGGGGAAGAGAAGATCAGTGTCCACTGCATTCAATAGTTATAATGGTGCTTCCATTGTGATTGTTGCTTTCTCACCCTCCATCAGCTTCATGAAGATGGTCACCCAAGGCCCTTCCTTCACAGCTCCGTACAAGGGGACAACCTTAGGACTTGTTATTGCAGCACATGTCGTTAACTCCTCTGCACGGAAGTGTTCAACTTGTACCTAGAGAAACAAAGAATCACAGAATCATTACGGTTGGAAAGGACCTTCGAGATCATCAAGTCCAACCGTTAACCCAACACCACCATGCCCACTGAACCACGTCCCCAAGTGCCACGTGCACACATTTTTTTGAACACTTCCAGAGATGGTGACTCCACCACCTCCCTGGGCAGCCTGGGCCAATGCCTGACAACTCTCTCTGTAAAGCCACTTTTCCGAAACTACAATCTGAGCCTCCCCTGGCACAACTTGAGGCCGTTTCCTCTCATCCTATCGCTGGTTACTGGGGAGAAGAGACCAACCCCCACCTCACCACAACCCCCTTTCAGGCAGTTGCAGAGAGCGATGAGGGCTCCCCTCAGCCTCCTCTTCTCCAGACTGAACCCCCCCAGTTCCCTCAGCCGCTCCTCATCAGACTTGTGCTCCAGACCCCTCCCCAGCTCCGTTGCCCTTCTCTGGACACGCTCCAGCACCTCAACGTCCTGCTTGCAGTGAGGGGCCCAACACTGAACACAGGATTCGAGGGGCGGCCTCACCAGTGCCGAGTCCAGGGGCACGATCCCTGCCCGGCTCCTGCTGGCCACACCCGTGCTGATACAGGCCAGGACACTGTTGGCCTTCTTGGCCACCTGGGCACACACTGGCTCATGTTCAGCCGGCTGGCGACCAGCCCCTCCAGGTCCTTTTCTGCCCGGCAGCTCTCCAGCCACTCTTGCCCAAGCCAAGAAGCACTGAACAAATTTTGTGATGAATCCTGACAGAATCATCTCTCCCTGATGCTTGGGTCAGAGTGTCCCGCACTGTTTAACAGCAGAGGCACAAGGATAACCTTCGTTAACAGAAATCAGTGGGTACAGCAATAAGTGGAAACACAGAACGATTCTGAACAAGGATGATCAAAGTCCCTAAATCCTCAGTGTCTGAGTAAAGTTAAGATTTGTCAAAAAAGATGCCAGGCTGCAATATCTCCGTCTTATAGCTGAGTACTGGTAATCTTCAGGAGGAAGGTAATTTAAAAAGATCATACTGACAACTTAAGCATTCTGCTTTCATGAAATCTAAGGATAGTGCAGTACTTGCCAAAAATAAAACTCCCCCAAGAGTTTTAACAGGAGGGAATATGAAATATGGCCACAAACAGTGATTGTTATTATCACCTTTTTAGGTGGTACTGAGCCTGCACAGAAAAATGGTTAAAGAAAAACTCTTTTCACTAAATTCGGCCAAACAAAATAAACCAAGAATTTGCTAAAGACCAGAAGGAAAACATGAGTCATTAAGTTTCTGGTGGGAAAAGGATGTATCATGTTTCTTCACTGTCAGCAATCCAGCTATAGCTAGGTTTCTTTAATCTCAAGAATTTGGAGAGCAGGTGCTTACAACACTGAGTATGGGGAAAGAAGGTCAGGTTGTCAGGCAGAGAGCAGTAATTCCAGACAGTTACTGATGTAAAATGAAATCATCGTAGTTAAGTGTTCAACTTGCATGTTAGAACTCACTAGTTTAAGAGTTTGGTCTGAGCAGATGTATTTCTGATCTCCAGAAGTAACCTTTGAAATGCTCCAGTAATTAGGGGAAAAAACCACAAAGACATTTTGAAAGACTTCAGCTTCTACTCTCATGTCTTTCTTTTCAGCAGTATCGCTCCTCCTTCCTGAAAATATACCCCACTACTAACAGCTATTTCTCCTAAGACTGTGTATTGGCAAATTGGATAACAAATTTAAGTAGTTACATGCTGTCAGAAAACAAGATGGTCATCTTGCCACAAAATTCCACATCCAAAATGTGAGGATGCAGAATAGGAAATAATTTTCTACATGCTTTAACTATGTTTGCCTCTATATAGCTGACAAATGAAATGGTTAAAAAAACTGGACAAGCTGGCTTAGTCTTGCTACTTGCATCTTTCCACAGGCAATGCATCAAGTTGAGACCAATGTAAACAAGAAAAAGCAAACATTTTAAATTGAAAAATGCAAGTTCCAATTCTTTTTGCATATAATATTTTTGTACTCAAGACAAACACTTCCCACACACTTGTTGAAGTGTTCTGTTGGAGTAACATGAGAAACATCAGTTCACAGAGGTGATGAAACTATTCAAGTGTTAAGTTCAAACAAAATAGTTTACATTCTCATCATCTACTGGCATCACTCTGCCTTCACCTCTGAGGGAGGGCCCCCCATGGTTGCCTACAGATCAATATCCTGATTCAAGTTATATTTCACACACTTCATACATCGTATGACAATGGCATATCTTGGTGTACAATAGATAATTATGCCAACTTCTGGAAAAATACACATCCTTTGCTGCATCTGTAACAGAATCACCTCATTACAATGTGCCAGTTTGGCATATGACACTCACTGAACAGATGAAAGCTCTCCCTGTTTTAAGTGCCTACCAACTGCCTTATTTTTTCCTACTTTATTCCTTTGTCAAGAGAGAAACGCCTGCCATGTCACCATTTACACTAGATGTGTTTTAAGATGAGGTTAGACAAGCAGACAACTCGCACAGCCGTTTCTCCCCCGCAGTCACTCGGAACACACACTCTTTCTGCAATCTCTACTCTCTTGGCCTGTCTCAGCACAAAACCCAAGACCCCTTGTAGCACACTTTGAAGGCTAAATTAACCTATTTCTGGCTGCTAAGCTTGACCCCTCCCGTGCACACACAGGTGCTCCATCTGCTTCTTCTCTCCATGCCATCACCTTGAAGTTTTTCCTTGGACATAACCACAGCAGCACTTCTCTATGACTGTACAATAATGTGCCTACAGTCCATGGCAGCTGGAAGGAGAAGACTTTTTCTCCATACGCCTTCTTGTGCCAGGAACGCCCCCCCTTCTCACACATAATTACCTTTTTGGCAGCGCACTGAAATCCTGTCTGTTTGTCCTCTATTTTGTATACTTCTCCAAAAGAGCCAATGCCCAAAGAACCATGACACTTGGTCCAATGAACCTCTTCTCGGTACTCATAATCCACTGGCTTTAGTTTCTGGAAGTTAAAATCAGAAAACAAGATGAAGCAAGGAAAGAAACACTTAACTGTTGAGCTCTACAGACAGAAACCAACATTTTCAGAAAAAGCACAATGATAGATACTGCCACACCTCTCTAAAAATCCCTGTACAGAATTACTTCTGCCACAGGCTTGAGATGAAGTGATATGGGAGGACCTACTTGATTTCTGTGGGCTCCATTTGATCTAAATGAGTACAACCCATTGTTGCAAAGAGAGTATTTGGATAGCTTTGGAGCTCCAAACTATTCACTTCACATGCAGGACCGAACCGCAAAGCTAAATCCTCCAAAAAAACCCCAAGATTCACACGACTAACTGTAGACATCTATGTGTGAGCTAAACCTTTTTTATAGTCCATAGACTGAGACTGTGCCTTAGGTCTCACTGTAAACATATTCAGGCAGGTAAGTGACACCCTAAACTCCACCGACCATACTGACAGGGTCACACTGATTCCAGAGAAGAGTCCTCTAAGGGGAGTTTAAGGTGGCAAGAGAGAACTGAATTCAGAAGAAATGAATCATGCCTCTGAGATTTACATGCATTTGGTACGCCCAAGTCCTGTGTTTGGCAAGCCAGTGGGCAAGTTGCTGGCTTCCTACCAGAGGCAGCAGACATGCTTTTTGCACCTTCATGATCTACATGTCCCTGATTTCTGTCTGTGTCACAGTCCAGGTCATGTACAGCAAATAAAATATTGCAGCCTGTTCACCTGAATGGACTGGGTTCTTTCAGAGAGAAACAGAGAAGACAGGTTTGAAGGCTGACTAAGCACAGAAACACTTCTAATAGACAAGCATGCATACTTTGTGAATGAGTGAACAAATTAGAGTCACCGATCTAAGACAGGTCTTTATACCCTTCAAAAAACAAAACAGCATCTTTAACTGACAGTCTTCAACCACAACAAGAACCATCCAGAAAATGCAGTCTTGTTACAGAAGCTAGCCCGTGGATGCAGATTATCTCTCTTCTGAAGCCCAGAAGAATCTCTGCCTTCCATGATACTAGTGTGTAAGGTCAGAAGATCACCTCATTAAGCAGCACGCCTTCATTTTCATCTGCTTCATGAAACTGTTCCTTTGGGTCCAGACCGCCTCCTCTCCATGTCTTGGCTAGGCTGGCTAAATTTTGTGGTTCACCGAGACTCACGCTCCCCTTCAAGGCGTCTACCAAGTATTCTTCTACAGAAATCTTGTCCGAACAGATTTTCATGGACTGGTTAACGCATTTGGGGAAACTATATTCTAAGTTTAGACCAGATAAGCGATGCTCACTGTCTTGATAGTTGAGATCACCATGGAAGTACGTCTCCAGAGCATTACGTTTCATGGCATGGAGAGGACTGTCTAGATGTGGGAAATGAGTGGGTATTATATTGTAGGGAAAAGGATGGAGAGTTTCAGGCTGTGGAACACTGTCCCTCTGATAGTGCCGTTTCCAAACATGATTAAGGCATTGAATAGGGCTTATCAACTTGTGCAGTTCTGTTTTGTACTGGCTCCTTGGTGAATGGAGTTTGCCCGTGGACAAAACTTTCTCGGGTTTCTCGAATGGCAACGGATCGTGGACCAAGTCCTTGTTAAGTTCTGAAACCCAAAAATTGTTTCTGTAAAGAGTATTTTGGTGTGCTTCATCCTCCTGGAAAATAAAACAAACCAAACAGCTGAGCAGGAACCTCAACGTAGCCACCCAAAATTCAACCAAGAATTGTCAGGAGTTTGCAAAGGTCCCAACAGTACAAAAGGAAGGTTTAAGGATTCTCACCTGAACAGGAATTGGGGTGCAGCTCTCTTGTTCTGGAGTTCTGGGACCTCGCCTGCTAGCAGCCACTGTTTGCACTTTCAGCTTGGATCTTCTCTTATGACGTTTCTTTTTCGTCTTACCACGATGCCTCCCTCTCCAACAGGTAGACGACATCTTCCCCTCCGTTGCATGGGCCACATTGTTAGGGATTTGATCGAGACTGTCTGACCGGCTATTGGAAACCAAAATGCATGAAGTCTCTTAGATCTGACGGTGAAAGCACACCTCCAGTTAACAATTATGACCAATGTAACAAGAATGAGAATTAGCAATTCTGCCTTCTGAGATTTAAAGAATAGAGAATGATAACAAAAATTCTTGCCTTCTAATATGGAGCATTTGTAACTTCAATATCAAGGCAGAGTAATGTATCTGGCATTGTGGGAAAGAAATGTGTGGGGTGTGTGGAGGAAGCAAAGCATTAAGTCTCCCAGTATTTGCAAATTCTGCAAGGAACAGCAAGACTAGACGGCAAAGTAGAGGGAAAAGCATTGAATGCCTCCAGGTTACTTTGAGACAGTTTGTGTCTATGATTTATAGTGAACACAGAGATTATGTATAAATGAATCTATTTAATAAAAGTGCTTATAATATAAGCATCTGCTCTATGTGAAAGAAAAATAGGGCTTTGCACCGAAGAAGAGGGATGACTAATTGCAATCAAATAAAATAGTTTCAAAAAGCCAAAATGTTCTGGCATGTAAAGCTCAATACTACAATATGATTTCTAGGAGTGCATATATATACAAAACAGCACAGGCCAGCACACCAGCGGGGGGCCTCTACAAACAGATACAACTCTCAAGAAGAATATTCACCTGCAGTTATTCAATACCAACCATAGTAGTTAGATTTTTTTAATCAAGTTGTAAGAGAAAACAGGATATTTGATCTTCAAATGAAGAAGTCATAATTGTTCTGTTGATCCATGCAGTATATCACCTGCCTTTACTGAACAGCAATGAAGTTCACAGCCAGCACTGCGGTCTCCATCTTTTCCTGCTGTTTCAGTGCACCATGCAGTGCTAAAAGATCCAATAAATAGAGTTCTAGGCAATGGCACTACCACATTGCCTTGAACCTGAACGTATAGCTGGCATACATTCCACATAAAAGCGCTAAGAAATGGTTCACTCTGCACTTCTTTGGTTGGTTCACGGCACAACGTCATAAAATCACTGGGCAATGTTAAACCATATACCTCACAAGGCCAGATTCAGTGTCTGAAAGCCACCAGAAAACAGGCAGCACCTAATTCTATATCCCAGTCACCCACTTCAGAGAGCATTGGAGCTGCTTAATAAGGCTCTAGTACATGCCCCAATAAGGCATATATTCCTCAGGAAGAAAAAGTGGCTGACTCCCAGATGACTTCAGAAAAGCAAGACCCAGGCCTCTATTTTTCCATCGCAACTTGTTACTCCCCCCTTTACCATTTTCAGCTTCTCTTCACAAGTCTATTTCTGTTGCTGATGCTGTCATTAAGTAAAGGTTCTCCTCTCATCCCCTTTTATCCTCCCCAGAAACAAAGCAGTTCCTTTTTCTCAGAAGTATTTCTAGCAGCAGCCTAAGTTTCCCACAACTTTTCAAAGGGGATGGTGTAACATGGTTTCAAAAGCATCAGGACAGTTCAGTTAAAAAAGAGTGAAAACTGTCTCTTGGATCCTTCTACTTCAAGCCCAGGAACCTCAAAAAATGACTCAGTCATTTCAAAACAAGTTTGACAGCCCAGAAATAAAGGGAGAAGACAACCAGCAGGCATTGACAATAAGACAATGCAGGGTGTTTTGAGTGGTTTGTGCTTAAACTTCTATTTTCTTCTCACACAAAAAGGTTTTGAGGAAGCTATTTGGTGAAAGACACACTATTCCTGAACCTCGGACAGAAAAGCTAATTGAAGGAGGAGTACTTTTGGAAAAACTATTGTAAGCACACAGAGCCAGGGTGATTTGGACCACATTGGCACACACAACAGTGAAGTGGGTATTCATGTTGAGGGGTCTCTCACCTGTAACGCTTACTATGAGCAATAAAGGATCTCTCTGATAAAGTGGGGCTGAACTCCTGGCTGTTTTCACCTGTGTGAAAGAAAACATGATCATCACGTGTCTTCAACATCAGGCAAAGTCTCTCCTCGTAACAACCAGACTAAGAAACAAGTCTACCAATTTGATAGACCAAGCAGCGATCCAGACAAATCACCACGTGGTCGTGCCACATCACCCACACTACGGTCTTCCTCCCCCAGCATTAGATCGCTTCCCAGCACTGCGATCTCCTGATCCCCCAGCTCTTTCCTGCCTGACAGCTTTATTTTGTTTTCCTTCTTTTCTCCCCCCTCTCTTAAAACACCTTTCAGAAGTCAGCCAAAAACAGATGACCCAGCAGAACACAGGTTTTATAGTCCAAGCAGCCCGGAGCAATGGCCACATGCTGTTCTTTCTGCTTTATTCAGTGGATGCTGCCACATTATTAGGAGATTTCATGAGCTTCCTAAATAGAGACTGGGATAATGTCACCAACTCCACCCCACTTGGGATTACAAATAGATTTCAGCTCAGCTCTCCAGGAGTGCAAAGTGAGTGAAATCTCATACCGCATTACACATTCCTTTTTCTCAATGAAGAGTAGACCGCCCTGCTACTTACATTCTGCTTGGGCAATAATAGAAATTGATGCACAGCCTCCTTCTGTTTCTTCTTTTGCTGTTCCTTTGGTGATTACATCATTCAGGATTTTCCACTGACTGTGAAAGATGACCTTCTTTGAATCTTCTACTTTGCAAACACTGCTCTGCTTTTCACTAACTGTCTTGTTCAGCCCCTTGGTAGCTGTGAGCTCCTTCTTGTGCTTGACGGCTGGATCAGGAGCTCCTTGGCATGTAATTCCCATCACTGCCATTTCACAGGTTCACAGAGTCACTGAGTAAGAATAAAAAACCGAAGCAAAATGTCAAAATACTTAACTTCACAGGCAGAAGCAGCTTCAAGTTCATGAGAAACAAGAGGCTGCTGAAGGTATCAGATTACTAAATAATTTAAACCAAATCAAGGTCCTAGCCAACCTCTGAGCATGGAGCTGGAAAAGAACCCAAGACCACCAGCTCTCCATCCCTGACTTGTAGCACTGAAGATCTGAATAATCAACTGTATTCTCAGTACTAAAAATATGAGACCACACAGGTTTCAAAGTGAAATTTATTTCTTGGTATAGTCCCTTAGCTTAAATACAAACAGTGAAACCATATAGAAGAGGGTACTCTTGTATCACTAAACAGGAAGAATATTAACCCCAAAAAAAGGGAAAAAAAAAAGAGAAGACATGAAAGATTTTCTCCCAGAGTGCACACAGGAGAAATGACATTGTGCTCTCACACCATATAAAATGGACATAAACTCCTGCTAATTCCTTTCTTTCTTGTACTGAGTCACCCTCAAATCCATTTCTCATTCTCCTTCCAATGAAACAAGGCTAGGCATCAGCCTGCCCATACGTAACTCCTCCCTTGCTCCCCTTCCTTCCCTTTAATCGCCAATAACTTTTGAAATCCTTGGTCAAGCCTGACAAAAGTAGAGCTCTTACGGCGTATCGGATTAATGCAAGTTGGTGTTGGATGGAGGACAGCGACGGTGCTGGACAAGACGATCCCCTCCGCTTGGCAGCAGCTGGCGAGTCAATCAGCATGTGCTGCTAGCTGACCAGTTAGCGTAAAGGTAGCTCCAAACAAGTCCCAGCAGATGCCAAATCTTGGCCAATTGGCAGAGCAGAGGAAGGTGGAAGGGAGCCAGGGGTGGAAAGGGAGAAGCACAACGAAGCATGGAAGCAAGGCACTGCGGGACAGGGCAGGGGTATATTGTGGGGTGGAAATCAGGAACGTGGAGAGTGAAGAGCTCCCTACAACCACACTGAACACAAGCCCACAGGAGATACAGCTTTGGTTTAGCCCCGGAGCCCCTCACCTTGAATTCCAGAAAAGTTAAAACATAGTTGTTTTCTATGTTTTAAACCCGAATACGTGCTACTGCCCCTTAACTGTAGAGGTCACTTCCTCAGGCCAGTCCTCTCACAGCTCAAGTGCAAAATCTTAAAATGAACATTTCGATCATTAAAAAACCCATGAGAATTCAGAAACCTTAGCACACACGTACAGTTGTTAAGTACCACGAACCCAATATAAGACAAGGAGAAGGGACACTTGAACAGAGGCCAGCAAAACCAAGATGTCAGAACTATTACAGGACCACATCTTTAAAGCTCACAAGTTTAAATCTGCACCAGGGATTTTCTTTGCCTTTTTTCTTTC